ACAAAAGTAAAAATGAAGAATAATATGTGGCTTATAGTATTTAGGAAATTAAAATCGAAATATGTCCATCCCATCCCAACATACCTCTATTAAGTTATTGTTTTATATGCGTGTTATTACCAGAAATTCTATGGCGTCCATATGGGCACCATAGAATTTCTGTGTTATTACTTTGCAAACATTTATATGTGTGAAGACCTATTCAATCTTAATAAGCTATTAGAAATTGCCAGGTCATTTCCTTTAGTCTAATTACGAAAATGACCTAAAACGAAGATAAGAAGGAAATAAAAAAACTAAAATTGTTATAGGTGAGATTTAGAATGAAATTTGGTATGTATTTTGATTTTAAAATCTTATAAGTCATAAAAAGTTCATATATAATTCAATTAATATTTATCATGACTTCTTAAGACTTTTTAAAATTTTAAATGACTACCTAATATTTTTTAAATCTTTTTGAAATCTTAAACGAATACATGCATTTTTAAAACTAATACGAATCCCGTGCGATGCACGAGTAAGAGATATTCATTAATATTTATAAATTAAAATGTTCATTAAATAATATTTGTAAATTAAAAATATAGAATCAATATGTAATACAATTTACCCATATTAATTTATTTAAATGTTATATAAAAATGAAATTATGCAAAATTACATAAAACATGTCTATTTAAAATTAGTACACAACCCGTACGGTAATTATAACTGATAATAAATTATATTATATTCATTTCAAAATAAGTGTCATTTTAAAATTTTTATTCGAAAATTCAATTTGAATACAATGTGGTTCCATAAACTAATTATTTTGGTAAAATTTTATCACATATTTAAAAATCAATGTGAATAATAAGTATAATATTAAAATTTATATTATTTCATTAATCAAAATAACTTTATTTTTGTATAAACTATCCAAGTAGAAAAAATGTAAGTAGTTGAGTAATTTATTAAATTATGAATAATTGACTACTCTATTTACGTCCAAGTTAATATTGACCCGTAAGTTATAAATAATTACTTATTTGCATTTTAAATTTGGAACCCAAATTTGGACTACACAATAAATCCTCTTATATATTTTATATATCTATATTGTACTAATCTCGAAATTTTTTAGATTTATTGTTGGTTACCTTATCGTTCAAATTTATCAACTAATTCTCTAGAACTAAATTACAAATTATAAACTTTATTTATTTATTTTTTTTTTGCCAGAACGATAGAGATTTTATATAGAAGGGCACAAATGTGCAAAAGAACAGCCACCAGTTGAATATACACAGCCAACAACTGAATACAGACAACCAACAACTGAATAAACTGAGAGAACAGTCCAAGGACCGCCTAGAGCCGACCCCAACGGGGTAATACTCACGGACACACAACTACACTAATAAACAAAAACACTAAGAAACTAAAAAAGACCCCAACAGGGTAATACCCGAGTGTCCGATCCCAACAGGATAATAAGTAGACACTCGGGCTCACAGGGGCCAACGACCCAGACCAAAACACAATACCACAACAACACAATCCTAAAAAACACAGGAAATAAAAAAAGCTAAACTACTACATTCAAGCCCTTCCTCAACCGGCCAACGAATTCAGCCCGCAGAGATCAATCAAACCAAGGAAAATCTCGAGCCCAGGCACTACTACCGAAACTGCGAAAACGCCTATACAAGCAGTCGAACTCGAGCCCCAAACCTAGCCCCAGAATGATCCACCCCCAATCGAGGGAACGCAACACCAACTCCCGCACCTTCACAACCCGAGTTTATCTAACACCACTAGCTAAACTCGGTTGCTCCGGAACCCACCCGACCCCAACACCAGAGAACCGGGGGGAGGAAGAGAGCGGCACAGTCCCGCAGCTCCGGCTACTCCGACGAGAGACGCCACAGCCTCTGTAGCCCCACCCCACCAGCTGACCCTCCGACCGACCATCACCACAGTACACCGGCGACCGAAACGAAAAGCCCCTGCAGGGCCCCATCGGAGAAGCAGAGCCGCCCGCAGGGAACCCTCCAGCCACGGCCAAGTCAGATTTTGGGGCCAACCACCTCCAATCTAGACCCGCCAGCAATAGACACCACCAATCGCATGACCAATCGCCGATCAAAAAGCTGACCACCGTCAATCGCGAGTTCGCCGGCAACCTAGGGCAGGGACAGATCGACAATCTCCGATTCACCACAGCAACAGTAGCTGACCGAGGAGACAAAGGGTAGGACAGACTATTAAGGGCGACGGCGGGCCGAAGCCTCGCCGCCGGCGAGGAAGGCGGCGCGATGGGAAGGAGAGAAAGAGCGCAATCGGGGAGGGATTTTTCGCGAGAGAGAGGAAAAAAGTTATTTTTGTATGTTGAATTAATTATAAACTTTATTAACAAATATTTGTTCAAATATCGTTCTATGTTTTAAAAGGAATACATACCAATTTGCTATCATCAATAACGTATGACAAGTTAGTATAGGAACATGCTAAAATTTGAGAATTATATCACCTTGATTTTATAATAAATATCATCAATAACGTATGACAAGTTAGTATAGGAACATGCTAAAATTTGAGAATTATATCACCTTGATTTTATAACAAATCAACCTAAAATTCAACTTTCATACCCATACTAATTATAAGATTCATACCACTTAGTTTATTTTCAAAATTTTCAAATACACTTCTATCCATACCATTTATATTCAGACATTTCATACCAAAATAAAATCGCTCTCTATTTATTCATCATAAAACTCAACTATTATTTTATTCTAAAATTTATTGTCATATACTATGTATTAAGATAATTTTTAATTAACTACCGAGTTTTATTATATGTAAATATTTTTATATTTATAACAAACTAAATTTTATACTCTTAGCTTACACAACATGAAATTTTATTTACCCTACGTAGTATAAGTAACAAAACGCGACGAATTACGTTATAAACATTTTAAAACACTTTCAACGTTGTTGTGATTGTCTTCATCAATTGGGTCTAACCACTAATAAATATGTCTATTACAAAATTAAATCCTTAAATACATTTTTTATCGGGGTTTTCAGCAATATTATACAACGTAGAAAATGGCCATTAAAAGTCACTATGCCACAAAAATAATAATTTGATAGTTAGATAAACGTTTTTAATAAATATATATTTTATAATATGAAATACCCAAATAATAATTTTATAGTTAGATAATTTTGTCACGTTATTATAAGGATAAATAAATGAATGAATTTATATTCAACAGTATACATATATTTTTTATTCAGAATCAATATTGTCAATAAATCTTCAAGATAAAATATAAGAATGTATTGCTATTTTCCTCGAAAGTGCTCAACCACAATCATTTGTGCAATTTAGTTAATAAAATATTGATGCTAAATGTACACACAACAATTCGTATCCATCATGATCCAAAAGATTTGAAAAATTTTAGAATATATCTCGCCTCGATTTTAGGATTCACGTGTAATGGATTTAAATCAGAACCAAAAGATTTGAAAATTTTAAACTACACAACAAATTGGCATGGGGGGATTTTACCAAAAATGCATAAAAAAATTCATAAATGGTAAAAAACGAAATAAAAAAGCGGGAAAAAAAAAATGCTATTTTCGGATTTTTTCTTNAATATATATATATATATATATATATTTGCTAGCAAAAAAAAATTAATAAAACTATTTAGGTTTCCTGTCCTTGTTCTGTTACAATCTAATATTTTTTAATTTTTTTATTTTTTATAAAACATGTAATTGATTTTTTTTTTCTCTAAAAGTATCATAGGTGGAAATGTCTTACTACCAAACTTCGCTTAATCAATGGCTTTTTAACGTATTAAATTAGGGGTAAAAACTGAAATTGAAGTTGAAAAGGAGTTTAGAAATTTATGTGGAAAAAGTCTTTATTTTATTTATAAATATTATAATATAATCATAATATTATTTCATTGTCCCTTACACGTAATAAGATAGGTTTGACTTTGAGATTATATCATTGATCATCTTCCAACTTCCAACTCGTTGATCGTGTACTACTTCTGTACTTGCATTTCTAATTCTGTTGCAATTTGCAAACATCGTCGTTTTGATCCCCTCCCACTCTTTTCCAAACAGACGCACCCAATTCACTCCAAGTTATTATTAACTAGTATTCGACCTTGTGCATTTGCACACATGTAAATAAAATTAAATATTATAAGTTATATTTATGTATATATAATAAAAATTATAAGTTATATAATTGTATTATATTTCAAACATATAGTATTATAAGTTATATTTATGTATATAATATTAAAATTATAAATTATATAATAGTATTATATTTTAAAATTTGATCGTTGGTCAAAATAAATAGTACACACAATTTGATTGTATACGAATCACTATATTGATTGAATAAAATGCAATAAATCTATACTTTTTATAATTTTGAGTGATCATAACCAATTAATTAGCTGAAAAATATTACATTTATTATAACAATTGCTTATGTGATTTTAATAAATTTCACTATAACATAAAAAAATTAATTTATTAATAAACAACATCTTCATCATATAAAAAAATATTGATTTAAGTGTAAAATATAATTTTATGTAACTTTCATATATTATTTAGTATAAAATATAATTACTAATTTTAATATTAACTATTATATTATTCAATAAAAAATATAATTATTAATCAATTAACATAAAATATAATGGTTTTTGTCTTAATTAACCCAAAAAATGTAATGAAATATTTTTTTATTAATGAGATTGGGTATATTAATGCCACATAAATAAAATTTATTAGATTCTATTTATTAGATTTTATTAATGATTTGCCACATAGATAAAATTTATTAGATTTTATTTATTAAGTAAAATTTATTGCTTAGCCAGCAATTATATATATATATATATATATAGATTCCTCGCCAAAAACCCCCCTCAAAATGGAAGACCACAACCGACCCGTCACAGGCTACCCCGCCTCCAACCCTCCCAATCCGCCGCCCTCCGGCACCGCTTACCCCTACGCCGCCGCACCTCCACCGAACCCCTACTACGGCTACCCAAACAATCCCTACCACCAGCCCCGCCGCTCCATCTTTCTCCGCCGCGTCCTGGCCTTCGCTATCGGCCTGATTGTCGTCCTCGCCGCCATCACCTTAATCGTCTGGCTTGTCCTGCGCCCCCAGGTCCCCCAATTCCGGGTCGACTCGTTCACCCTCTCCAATCTCACTGTCAGCGATAACTCCTTGGTCTCCTTCACCTCCCAAGTCCGCCTCACGGCCCGAAACCCCAACCGGAGGCTGACCCTCGCGTACGATCGCTTGGACGCCGCCGTCTATTACAGGTCGTGGTCGCTCGCGGACACCGTTCTGCCGCCGTTCTCGCTGGGCACGAAGAGCGAAACTCAATTGACTGGAAATTTCTCGTCTGTGGGGAATTTCGTCGAGCGGGTGGCGGCAGACGGGATGAACAGAGAAAGGGGGAGTAGAGGGAGCGTAGGGCTCAATTTGAGGGTGCTTTCTAGGGTTAGGTTCAGGACAAATTCATGGAGGACTAGGGTTAGGCTCCTGAGGGTGTTCTGCGGGGATTTGGAGGTTGGGGCTCCAAGCAACGGGAGGCAGGGGACTTTGACCGGTGGTCCAAGGCGGTGCAGGGTGGTGGTTTGAAAGGTGAGAGTCACTGAATTACTAATTATTTGATAGAGTTGTATTCATTTTCTCT